TTTGCGTCCAGATGTTCAAGCCCCGAGGTGCCCTGAAGGTTGGACAGGGTCGCGAGGGTGAGTTCTTAGTGGCTTGGAAACAGAGGTTGGGTCTGAAGGTGTGACAGGGAGATTCCGGAAGATGAGACAGGCCGAGGAAGGGTTCCGTTCACAGGTTCATATCTCCAGGGGGCGCGATGACGACCGAAAGTCCTGAAAGTTCCCTAAACCCTGAACCCTAAACCCTAAACCCTGAACCCTAAACCCTGAACCCTGAACCCTGAACCCTGAACCCCAACGGCATCCGAAAGGATTCCCAACTCCCCCTCTGATCCTTTGAGCCATTGGGGTATTTCGGGCACCGCCTCCTCCCCAATCCCCACCCTCCCCATCTAAACCCGAAAACTCTAAACCCTAAGCCCTAAACCCTAAAGCCCAAACCCTAAACCCCAAAACCCCGAATCCCCAAACCCTAAACCCCCATATTATATCCAAGGATTCCTCTAGGACCCGATGCCCCCCCAAAGCCACGCGAAGGCCAAACCCGGGCCGCAACAGCACTCTGCTTCACCTGGCCGCTTCCTTATGCTTTCTGGGTTTAGGGTTTAGGGTTTAGGGTTTGGGGTTTAGGGTTTCAAGCCTTGGCCTGCAGGTTTATGGGTAGTTCTAAGTAGGGTTATAAACTTGTACCCTAAAATTATAAACAGTTTTAGTTATCGTCTTATAGTTACCCTGCCTATAATATAACCCACTTATAACTACTCATGCACCTTCAAGTATCTGCAGGGTTGAGGGCTAAGGGAGACAAGAGAGAACTAGAGAGCTGTGGATGTACGGGAGTTTGGGGGTTCTGGATCACAGGTTACATGCTCGTAGGGTTGGTAGGGCTTGGGGCCTTAGAGTGTGGGATGGTCCAAGGGGGGGGTCCAATGTAGCTTGTGGAACCCTGGTGGTGAGGCCGCATCATCAACTGCATCCCATTCAAGTTTTCGGAACTTGAGGGTTATGTGGCACATCGGGCCATGAGGACTCTACTCCCAAAGCCCTGAACCCTAAACCCTGAACCCTAAGCCCCGAAGCCTAAACCCTCAACCCCTGGACCCGAAACCCTAAGTAATTACTTAAGTACGCTTCAACTTCTGAACCCGGAGCTCCAAACCCCTAAACCGCAAAAACACCCTAAAACTTCTAAGCCCGCAGCCCTACTTGCAGGTTCATGGGTAGCTATAAGTGTGGTTTTAAGTCGGATAACCTTGATGATAACTGGTTATAACCTTATTCAGGGTACTTATAGCCTGACTTCTAACTGCCCGTGAACCTGCATGTAGGGTTCAGAGTTTTGGGATATTTGTAACTGGTTATAACCTTACTTAAGGATAATCCTACTTCTGACTACCCATGAACCTCCTTGGAGGTTCATGGTACTTACTAACCAATTATAGCTGTACTTATAACTGTACATAGAACCATCTCAGGGCACTTAGGGGGCTTAAGAGTGCCTAAACCCTAAACCCTAAACCCTAAACCCTAATACCCTAATACCCCTAAACCCTAAACAAGTACAGCTCTCATTGGTTCATCAGTACCACGAACCTCCAAGCAAAAGCCCACCGAAGCCTTGCACCCCAGGCCGCGCTTCTTTCCGAAGGCGAGGAGATGGAGGTTCGGTTTCCGGCCGCTTTGATTTCACCTGCGCCCAGGTGTCCCTTAGTTGGGGGAATTTGAGGAATGTGGTGTACTATATGGCAGTAACGGAATGTCAGTAGCTATATTATGGTAACTTATGAATATAACTTTCTATAACATGGTGCAGGCTCTTCGGGCAAAGACATCCCAAAAAACGAGCACACGAAGCCGTGCAAAAGGCCGTGGAAGTCGTGCAGGTGCTGCTCGATGCAGGCTGGGGCAGGGCTCGGGGGCTTCCGCCGTTCCTTGTCAACGTAGCGCTTAGCCCCATAAGCCATAGCGGGGTTCTCAAAATTAGGGGCACCTTATTGGGATCCTCCTTATAAGGGAATCCCGTTATTTTGGGGACGATATTAGAGGTCCCTGCAGCCAAAGGGGTGGTTGGGTTTAGGGACTCGGGCTTGGGGCTTAGGACTGTAGCTCCAGTCAACGAATCTTCCGTTTGCAGAGTCCAGTATCCCTTCCGCCCCCAAGAGACTGTAATGACGGGAAGGAGAGCGGTCTCGAACCCCAAGCCCTGAGCCCGACAACCCCTAAACCGGAAGCCCTAAACCCTAAACCCTAAACCCTAAACCCTAAACCCTAAACCCTAAACCCTAAATCCTAAACCCTAAACCCTAAACCCTGAACCCTCTCAAGGCAGCCTAGGACTCAAGCGTTTATTGAGATGTGCGTGCGAAGAGGAGCCCCGGACTTCGTAAAGTGGCTGACCGAAAAAATTGCCGCTTCCCAAAGTAAAACCCTAAGCCCTACACCCTAAGCCCTAGACTAGGGTTTAGGGTTTAGGGTTTGGTTTTTAGGGTTTAGGGTTTTTTGTTTAGGGTTTAGGGTTTAGGGTTTAGGGTTTAGGGTTTAGGGTTTAGGGTTTACCCGAAGCCTTACACCCCAAGCCCTAAGCCCTAAACATAGCCTGAATCCGAGACTCCCTTCACCGCCCTATACCCTGTTAGGGGTTTAGGGTTTAGGTTTAGGTTTAGGGGTTGGGGGGCGCAGGGTTTAGGGAAACAAGGGTTTGGGACGTTCAGCCTTCAGAGAATCGTCAGCTTTTGACGCCTCGCACCGATCGCCCAGAGTGACGTGCCTACGTGAGTCCAAGGCTTTTGGGTAGCTTAGGGTTTATAGGGTTTACCTAAACCCTAAACCCTAAACTTGGGTAGCTTAGGGTTTATAGGGTTTAGGGTTTCTTGGACTGGTTATGGGACTGGTTGCTACTTGGAGGTTCATGGGTAGTTGTGAGTAGGGTTATAGGTACCCTAAATAAGGTTGTAACCAGTTCGAATGGCAGGTTACCCTGCTTCTAACCCCACTTAGAACTGCCCATGGACCTTCAAGTAGCCCTAAACCCCAAACCCTATGCCCTAAACCCATCTACTTATAACCCCGGCTCCCGCAAAGCATAGTTGTAAGGTGGTGGTGATGGTGCAAATGCCGGTGGTGGGTCGTCTGGATGATGTCTTCAGGGTTCAGGGTTCAGGGTTCAGGGTTTAGGGTTCAGGGTTTAGGGTTTAGGGTTTAGGGTTTAGGGTTTAGGGTTTAGGGTTTAGGGTTTAGGGTTTGGGGTTTAGGGTTTGGGGTTTAGGGACGTTCAGCCAAACTCAATCCCCAAGTCTCCCCAACCCCAGACGAAGCCTTTTCAGCCTCTGCTTGCTCTTGCATCCCTAAGCTTCCCCAAACTCTGAACCCTGGAAAACTAGGTGGGACTTTACTACAGCTTTATCACTTCATAAGTTTAGGGTTCCTCTAATTTCATATTAAGGGAGCCATAAAAGTTAAGCCTCTATTGGGGGGGGGGTTAAAGGTTTAGGGTTTAGGGTTTTGGGTTTAGGGTTTACACTCTGAACCCTGGAAAAGAGGCGCCAAAGTGGCGCGCCCCGACGCCAGTGGCGAGACGCCCCTGATGAGCGCTGTGCGTCCAGGGACCAAGTGACTACTTGAAGGTTCATGGCCAGTTACATAGGGTTTAGGGTTTAGGGTTTAGGGTTTAGGGTTTAGGGTTTAGGGTTTAGGGTTTAGGGTACGTAGAGCAGCAAGAATTATGATTGGTTTTGACCTTATTTAGGGTACTTAGAACCCTACTTATAGCTACCCATGAACCTCTAAGTACTACATTGGTATCCAGAGGGCCCAACATCCCTGAATTGACGGAGATACCTTGCACCTAGACCCCGAAATTCTCTCAAGCCGAAACCCTAAGCCACCAGGTTCTCAACAGGCTAAATCCCTAAATAGCAACTTCGAGGCTTAGGGTTTAGGGCCGTCCAATGTTCCGTCACACTTGGAGGTTGGTTGGTTGTTTTGGATCGTCTGTTGCCCCGAAGCTACTACATGAAGACCCCCCAAACCTACTCTTTCATAGTAGGCTATGATTGTAACATCCCCGAACAGCCTTCCAGCATTCTTAGGCAAGCGGCAAGAAAGTTGGCTTTGGGTTCTTGAAGTAGCCCTTGGTGTCCTCAGGGTTTATTGGGGTTCTCTGCCTCCTCTCTATGTAAAGAGCACAAGGTTTAAGCTTTAGGGTTTAGGGTTTAGGGTTTAAGGTCTCTTCGAACGTGGAAGACGAGTTAGATGGGAGGCCCCCGACACTTTCCTTGGGCCCGCTGCGCCCGCATTTCTCAGCTGTGCGCTGCCAAGAGCAGTGGATTTTAGGTGGATGGCCCCTAAAACCCTCTGAAAGATGCTCGGGTTCAGGGTTTAGGGTTTAGGGTTTAGGGTTTAGGGTTTAGGGTTTAGGGTTTAGGGTTTAGGGTTTAGGGTTTAGGGTCTAGGGTTTAGGGTCTATATGATCCTCGCAAACCCAAGAAGGGAAGAGATGAAATATCCCAAGGGCGTACCTAGCTTAGGTTGAACCACAGTGCCCCCGACAAAGTTTCATCTACGCACAGAGCAGCACTGCCTTAGCCCTGCGTGTAAAGGGAAGAGCCCAAGCCTCAAAGCGCAAAGCTCGACCATCAAACCCTGCAGCCCTGCCCTAGAAGCCCAGGCCGTAAACACCCTCAACGCTGAACCCTGAAGCCCCGAACCCCTAAAAGCCCCACACAAAACCCAAAACCCAAAACCCTAAGCCCTAAACCCTAAACCCTAAACCCTAAACCCTAAAGACCCACAAAAGCTACAGCCCTCAAGCCCACAAGCTCTATAAGCTCTAAGCCCATGAGGTGGCGCTATCTTGACACGGCCAATGAGTCGAAGTAGGGCTGCCACACCCCTAAACCCTAAACCCTAAACCCTAAACCCTAAACCCTAAACACTAAACCCTAAACCCTCAACCCTCAACCCTAAACCCTAAACCCTAAACGAATTAGCTGCCCTTGTTTTCCATCCTCCGCCGCGCGGCCATGGAAGTCGGCGCGGCGGCTGCAGCCGCGGCGGGGGTGCATCTGGCGGGCGGGGGCGCCCAAGGGTTACTTCCCCGTGTGACCTCTCGTAGGGTTTAGGGTTTAGGGTTTAGGGTTTAGGGTTTAGGGTTTAGGGTTTAGGGTTTAGGGTTCAGGGTTTAGGGTTTAGGGTTTAGGGTCTGATGCAGAGAAGCATAGGAAGCTTCGGATGTTCGTTCTGCTCTCACGCAGCCCCCGCGGCCCCAAATCTCTTAAAAAGCCCCCAAACTCCCCTCCCAAGTCAGGGCTCAATGTTGGGATCAGACTAAACCCTAAACCCTAACCCTAAACCCTAAACCCTAAACCCTAAACCCTAAACCCTAAACCCTAAACCCTAAACCCTAAACCCTAAGCCCCCTTTCAGAGGTTACAACCGTGACAACTTCTTCCAGAACTTGCACCTCAGCCAAGCGCGGCGTTTTCAGAAGCAGCAGATTGTGACGTCACAGGCGCACTGGGAACCCTAAACCCTAAACCCCAAACCCCAAGCCCTAAGCCCTAAACCCTAAACCCTAAACCCTAAACCCCAAGCCCTAAACCCTAAACCCTAAACCCCAAACCCTAAACCAACTCAAAGTCGTAGATGCTAGGGCCCTCTTTCGAAGCGGCGAAGAGAGTGCCTTGAACGGAAATCACTCTCTTTTCGGGAACGCTTAAACCCTAAACGCTAAACCCTAAACCCTAAACCCTAAACCCTGAACCCAAAAGCCCCTTTGCTGGCAGATAAGCGGAGGCGGATCTGTTTCGCGCCGACGTGGAGCAAGCCATTGGGGCCTCCACAGCGGTGCAGGCGATCTTTGTTGGGCTTGGGCGCAATAGGGTTTAGGGTTTTGGGTTTTGGGTTTAGGGTTTAGGGCAATCCCCTGCTCCTAATCTTCAACCCCCCGTCCCCGAATTTTCTGTTTGGGGGTAGGGAAGGGGATTTGGGTTTAGAGGGCTCGGGGTTATGTGGTTCCCGAAACCCGAAACCCGAAACCCGAAACCCTAAACCCTAAACCCTAAACCCCAGACCCTAGACTTAAACCCTAACCCCTTGAGTCTGTAGGCTTCCTGCAGTTTGCCCTCGCGTTTGCAAACCTGGGTCCCACCCCAAACGACCAACTTGGACCTGTGCCCTAAACCCCGTACCCGAAACCCGGGCCTTACAGAGGTTGCAGGACGAGTGTCATCGTTCAGACTTGAGAGTGCTTATGCTCTTGGGTGAGGGTTAAGACGCGTGGGGCTCTCCAACAGGACCGCCTGATCGTGGTGTGCCTTGGCAGCAGTCATGCGATGGACTGGGAAGGACAACCGCGTCCGCTCGAGGATTTTTTTGGGGAGTTTGAGTAAGGCCACAGAAGGAGCCAGGTTGAGTGTTCCGTTCTGTGCTTGTAGGGCTTGGTATGTTTTATGTGTTGACCTGCCGCGTGCACGTTGGATTCACTGAAGGTCGTTGAAAGGCTTCCGACGGCATTTATGCCATGTTGCCTAGCGAGGCTTCCTGTCTTGGCTTTCACTTCATAAATCAGCCCTCAACCCTTTTGAAACCCCCTTCTAAGGTAGACCCTTTGAAGTATTTCAGATCTCCTTCATTAGCTTAGACTTTCGGAGGTTCTCAACTCTTGGCATCGTCGTTTATTATGGCCCAGCTTAGCGCAGCTTCTAGCTTTGGGAGATTTGCACTCCCGGCTTTACGAGGGGGATCGATCGAAATTATGGCCCCCTTCTTGGGTCTCATCGTAGTATGCCGAGCATATTCATTACAGTTTAGCGGTTTAGGGTTTAGGGTTTAGGCTTTAGGGTTTGCCGAAGCGAGCCTGGAATGTATCCTCGCGGCCTGAGAAGCTGCGGCGAACCTTTCCAAACAAGCCTCCGCACGGAACCCAAATTCATCCCTAAACCGTAAACCCTAAACCCTAAACCCTAAACCCTAAACCCCAAACCCCAAGGCCCCTAGCACAACGCCAGGTCCGCGTTGCTTCTCGGCGTTTCAGCGCACACGCCGCTTGGCCCGAAGCCGACCCCTTGACCTTTAGGGTTTAGGGTTTAGGGTTTAGGGTTTAGGGTTTAAGGTTTAGGGTTTAGGGTTTAGGGTTTAGGGTTTAGGGTTTAGGGTTTAGGTAAGAAAAAAAACACCTCCGCCGAGGCTAAGAATCTGAACAATCCCACACACAAGCTCAATGAAGGCTAGATGAGCCTCGATCAAAGGCCCCGGGACCCATCCTAACCACCATCTCATGTTTCTAGCTCTTAGGGATTCTTGGGACGAATTTTTCATTTTTGGGCTATCAAGGGTTCCAAGTTCAATAAAGTCCTGCCCTGATACCCGAAGCCCAACACTCCCAGAAGCCCACACCCTATGATACAGTAAGCCCTTGTGCGAGCCCTAAACCCCAGGAAAGCCGGGAGAGGTAGCCTAGACACATGCAACTTTCAAAAGTTACTTGCAAAAAAAAGAAAAAAGGCTCCGGTCACATGTGGTAAACCATCTGCAGAAGCTCAAAGCTTCAACTTTTTGGGCAGCCTGGAAAAAGCAGTGCTAGAGCTCTTCAGATAAGCCCCAAACCGCAAATCAGCAATGCAAACGCCGTAAAACCCCCGAACGGTAAATCCCTGAACACTCAACCCCAACTCCCAACTCCCACGCCCTTAAACCCTGAACCCTAAACCCCAAATCCTAAACCCTAAACCCTAAACCCTAAACCCTAAGCCCTAAACCCCAGAAGCCACACGAACCTCTGAGCTGCCGAGGTTTGGCTTTCACATTTCGGCTCTTGGACTGCAAGTGGACAGTAGTGGCGGTAGCCAGGGTTTCGGGTTTAGGGTTTGGGGTTTAGGGTTTAGGGTTTCGGGTTTCGGGTTTGGGGTTTGGGGTTTGGGGTTTAGGGTCTGGGGTCTAGCAGAAGGTCCTCAGTGGAGAGCTTGTAGGGCGTAGCATGCAGCAGCTGGAGCTGCGAAAGCATGCGTGCCGCAATCATACGGCTGGAGTCCACCAGAACAATAATTGCACGCCGGGGTTCGCTCTTCTATCAAGCTCTTCTAGCCTAGAAGCCCTCTTGTTGAGGACCTATGTGCCAAGTGCAGGGGCCTACACTGTACCAGAACATGAGTTCGCCGTCTCCGAAAGCATGCGCCCGAGGAGCATACAACTGAGTTTCTGAACGTCCTGTTCTACCTGACCACTAGCGCCTTTTGGACGCAATGGCCAAACAATTCCGGCGGTACCCTCCTGCCATAATGATAAGGCTCTGTGTGTGTGTGTGTGTGTGTGTTTTCTTGGGGGGGGAGGGGTGTATTAGGGCACTCATAAACCCATATAACATCCCTTAACACTAAACCCTGAACCCAGCCCTGGATGACACCCTGAAGCTCGAAGCCCCCAAAGTGGGTATTCCCAAAATAGGGAGGGTTTAGGGTTCAGCGTTGAGGGTTTAGGGTTTAGGGTTTAAGGCTTCATAGCGCTCTGCCGACTCCCCCTAAACCATGCTCATTCCCAGTGGAAAACTACTCGTAGGTGTTCCAGTCATGCATCTCAGCAATCTAGGGTTTAGGGTTTGGGGTTTAGGGTTTAGGGTTTAGGGCTGACTCGCCCAATCTTCGCGCCACAAAGCCATCGCCTCTGACGATGGCTTAGCCCTTACAGGTCCGGACTCTAAACCTGTAAAGCAAACCCCATAAGCCCGATAAGCCCTATGAACCCTACAAAGCTGTAACACTCCACAAGCCGCAGAAGCCCTATAAGCCCTAGAAGCCTTATAGAAGCTGTATAACCCCACAAGCCCTATAAGCCCTATCCCTATACTTGTCGATGCTCAGTGCCCTACGCCTTTACTCTCTGGCTGTGGGTTGCCTCATGTACCGTTGGCACGTGAATTCAAGGCTGATGCGGACATTTCCCAGCCTTAGGAACCCCCAACAATGGGTATAGGGTTTAGGGCTTAGGGTTGAGGGTTTAGGGTTTTAGGGACAGAAAGCTCAACCCCCCCCCCCCCCCCCCCCCCCCACCGTGTCTCTGTCTTGGCGGCAGGATGGCGGCTTGAGTTCACGTGGCGGATGCCCTAAATCTCGCGAACCTGCAAACCCTAAACCCCGAAACCCCAAACCCCAAACCCTAAACCCCTAAACCCCTCAACCCCTAAACCCCTCAACCCCTCAACCCCTCAACCCCTCAACCCCTCAACCCCTGAACCCCTAAACCCCTCAACCCCTAAACCCCAAACCCTTAACCCTAAACCCTAAACCCTAAACCCTAAACCCTAAACCCTAAACCCTAAACCCTAAACCCTGCTCAAGAGGTCTCCTTTCTTTACTTCATGCTCGCGCTCTTCGCGTCGATCTGCTCGGAGCCCAGCAGCTCCAAAACACGAAGCCTTGGGGACGCTTCCCCTAATATAAACAGGTTTAGGGTTTAGGGATTTAGGGTTTAGGCTTTAGGGTTTAGGGGATTCGGGGGGGTTAGGGTTTAGGGGGGTCAGGGTCTTTAGGCATTTGTTCGGGTTTCGGGGGTGGGGTCTAGGGTACACATAGCCTCTGACATCTGCACAGCCCTCCGCTCCAAAGCGCGAGAAACGAGCACCCTGAATCGAAATCTCAACTCGCACCGTTCTGGTCGGGGCCCCTCGGCAGCCCTAAACCCTAAACCGGAACGAACAAAGAACGGAACTTGGAGCGAGGATCTAGGGTCTAGTGCGTATGAGAGTGAGCTCTGAGGTCCCTTGTGCTTTCGACTTGCATTTATTCAATTTTTTGTTCTTGGGGTTTGGGTCTTGGGTTGTTTTGTTGGGATGTTCCCCTTGTACTAACAATCCTTACTCGGGATTAGAATCGGGGGTACAATAATCCCTATTGAGGACCGTCAGTGGATCCCAAGATTAACCCTATCCCCCCCCCCCCCCAACTCCCCTAAACAGCCGAAACCCCCTAAAACCCCCTAAAGCCCCCAAACACCCTAAACCCCCCCCAAACCCCCTAAACACCCTAAACCCCCTAAACCCTAAGCCCGCTAAATTTAAACCCTCTAAACACCCCAAACCCCCTAAACTCGAAACCCAAATACCCTAATATAGGCATCGGAATATTTTCTTTTATTTTTCCCTCATGGTCACTTTATAGTTATTACTAGAATGGCCCCCAAAACACTGTTCTAATGATTAAGGCCCCTTTTGACAAAACCCCCTAAACCCCCTAAAACCCCCGAAACCCCCTAAACCCCCTTAACCCCCTAAACCCCCTAAACCCCCTGAACACCCTGAACACCCTAAACACCCTAAACCCTGAAACCGGAAAACCAAAGTAGCGCAGTGGGCCTCGGACGTCGGATGCGCGGTGAGGTGCCAACGTCTTGGCAAGGACCTGCCAGAAGGACCTGGGATGATATGCCCCCTCTACTTGAAGGGTTTAGGGTTTTGGATTTAGGGTTTGGGGTGTACGGTTCCTAAATCCTACAAGAGTCCTACAACCTGACAACCACCCGGAACCCCAGGTTTAGGGTTCAGGGTCTAGGGTAACCACAGCAGAAGGATGGGTTCAGGTTTAGGGGTTACATTTCGGAGGGTCGCAGATCCTCCCTGGCTTTTCGCCGGACCTCGATCCAAGAAACACGGGGTTCCCGTGGAGGAGCTGCTCAATCACTGCGTGCGGCCACCTTTCGAGGACATGATGAAGGCGAGCTGAGCAGGGTGGCCTTTGGGCATGTTGTGGGCGGATATTGTTGCGAAGAGCGCTTGAGTGGCTTCCATGGTTTGGAATGGTTCGCTTGTGAACGTGAGCGTGTAGCGGGTTTGCAAGACGTGCAGCTTCTGTGACGCGGTAGAGAAGGGGTTGTTGTACGATTGGGCGATCATACACAGCGCTCGAGTCTGCATACTGCACTACTATTGGCTTAAGAACCCCCCCCCCAAAAAAAAAAAAAAAAACAATGGAAAATGTTATTCCCTCTAATTAAGGGCAATACAGGGATTATTATCTCATAGTTTTGGGGTTCTTAAGCAAATAGTACTACTATAGGGGTCGGTTGAATAATTCTGGTTCCTTTATCATTATACTATAACAACTCCCAAAACCCTGTTTTAAGTATTAAGGCCCCTATATTACTACAGCGTGAAGTCAGGGGCTCATCAATCGGCTCATTTCTGTTTCCTTGAGAGCACCGAACCTCACTGAGACCCCCCCCCCGGCACACACGAAGGTCGGAAAGGCGTAGGCTGCCGGATCCCCTAAACCCTAAACCCTAAACCTTTAACCCTACACCCTAAACCCTAAACCCTAAACCCTAAACCCTAAACCCTAAACCCCAACTTGGAGGTTCATAGGTACTTATAACCCCAAATATCGGTCTACTTACAACCTCCTTAGAAGACTTAGGGACTCAGGGGGCTTATAAGTACAGTTACCGTTGGGTTCTAATTGGGGCTCTAAGTACCCTGAACCTCCAAGTTTGGTGGGGTTTAGGGTTTAGGGTTTAGGGTTTAGGGTTTAGGGTTTAGGGTTTAGGGTTTAGGGTTTAGGGTTTAGGGTTTAGGGTTTAGGGTTTAGGGTTTAGGGTTTAGGGTTTAGGGCCCAGGCGCTCTCAGGACCCTTCAACCCGGCTCCCACCCGAAGACTCCCGAAGACTCCTGGGGGGGGGCAAAGGCGATCGATGACGCCGCGGCGAACTTCAGCGCGGAGAACTTCGAGCGTCAAGGCCAGGACTTCTTCAACTCTGGTGCTCTTGGACGGGGTTTAGGGTTTAGGGTTTAGGGTTTAGGGTTTAGGGTTTAGGGTTTAGGGTTTAGGGTTTAGGGTCCTAATAGCACCTCCGCTTGTGCGCTGGGCTGGTAGTTGAGCCTCAACTACGGCAGTCGGGCCCCAAAAAGATGATGCCCGCAACGAAGTGCTGGCCAGTTGGAGAGTTAATTACCCTAAACCCTAAACCCTAAACCCTAAACCCTAAACCCTAAACCCTAAACCCTAAACCCTAAACCCTAAACCCTAAACCCTAAACCCTAAACCCTAAACCCTAAACCCTAAACCCTAAACCTAAACCCTAAACCCTAAACCCTAAACCCTAAAGCCAAAACCCAAAACCCTAAACCCCAAACCCCAAACCCCAAACCCTAAACCCCAAACCCTAAGCAGCATGATGTCGTCGCATGGGCGCCACCGAGCTGGCGGAGTCCCAATAGACTCTGGAGGTAGCTAGGCCCTCGGGATCGGTGAAACCCCAAACCCTAAACCCTAAACCCTAAACCCTAAACCCTAAACCCTAAACCCTAAACCCTAAACCACCAACTTGAGGCCTGTCGACACTCTTCCGGGTTCCGGGTGTCCAGCGCTTCACCGAAAGGAAACCCACCGAAAGGAAAGGCACTGGCAGGAGACCCAGTGGGGTTTAGGGTTTAGGGTTTCGGGGTTTAGGGGTCCGGGTTTAGGGTCTGGTGGGTCGGGTTTGTCAACCCCGAAGCTTGAAAACCTTACCGAAAAAAGAACCGCAAACCTGCTGTTGTAGGCTTCCCGACACCCCCAATAAGGGGAAGGGGCTTTGCAGCAAGAGCCCGAAAGGTCGATTCGGCTCAAGGGGTTCTGGAAGTACATCCCACTGTAAGTCTCCAACCTCCCCGTAGCCACACAAGGCCTGAGACCCACCTTGAAAGATACATCCGCCCGGGCCATGAATCATCTAGAGCCTTTCTCGATGCCTATAGAGCCCCCAGCCCCAAAAACCCAGGTCCCCCAAAACCCTTGGTTTTGGCACTTCCACGTGGTTGCGGCCGCGTGTCGCATTGGAAAGAATTCCAAGAACCCTGGGCTCCAAGCCTGTTAGGGTTTGGGGTTTGGGGTTTGGGGTTTGGGGTTTAGTGCTTAGATTCCTCGCATGGGCCTTGAATGCTAGTGCGCAAGCAGCTGTGTGCGCCACGGGCGCCTGAGGTAAAAGCCAGGCCCCCCCAGCTGCAGATACTTTCCTCAGGCAGGGGGTTTGGCTGGCATGTGGAGGTTTCCCAAATTAGGGGGTACCTTCTTGGGGTCCTTGGTATAAGGGGATCCTACCATTCGGGGGCTTATATATGAGGGGTCCCTTATTCTCGCAAACCCCCGTGTTGCGAGTGGCGGGAGCTTGCTTAGGCTCCAATGACTTCGGATTAAACGTTTTCGGCGGGGGTTGAGAATGGAGCTGTCCTGTGACGTGGTATGAAGCGGCCACATCGAGTCATACAGTGTAACAGCGGAAGGGCCTGGGCCTTTTTGATTTCCTGTGGAGGTTTAGGATCAGACGTCTAGGAGGATCACAATAAAATCCTACAACCATAAAAGGCTCACACCCCGAAACTCCCCAATCCATGGTGTATGGTGTTTCGTGCTCACTTTCCGTTTCTGGTGTCCAGATCCGTGATTATCTTTGCCAGACTTCCAGGTTTGTAGGACACTAAACCCTAAACCCTAAACCCTAAACCCTAAACCCTAAACCCTAAACCCTAAACCTTAAACCCTAAACCCTAAACCCTAAACCCTAAACCCTAAACCCTAAACCCTAAACCCTAAACCCTAAACCCTAAACCCTAAACCCAGCTTCCTCAGCCTACTGGATGCCTGAGCTGGTATGCTCAAGGCCGAGGTATCCGGATGCTCCCAAGCCCAATTTCCACGGATATCTGGGTCCAGGGCTCTTAGGGTTTATAGGGTTTAGGGTTTAGGGTTTAGGGTTCAGGGTTTAGGTTTAGGGTTTAGGGCTTCGGGGTTTCCAGGCCCTCAACCCGAAACCCCGAGGCGTTGTTGCTTGTATGAAGGAGTTGGTTTACACGTGCATATACTACTATTTTTGCCTAAGAAGCCCAAAAGAGTAAAAACTAACAAGCCCCATATTATCCCTAATAAGGAAGGAGATTTTTTCGGTTTTTTCGGGGTTCTTAAGCAACTAGTAGGATATCCGCAGGTATGACTCTTCTTTTTCCCTCCTCGCACGCGCAGTAGCGACAACTCGGACATCGAGAACAGCGACTCCCTTGAGAAGCTGATCTCGCAGCAGGCATTGGGGCTTCCTAAACCCTAAACCCGAAACCCTAAACCCTAAACCCTAAACCCTGGGCTCAGAGTGGAAGAACTTGAGCCCGGAGTCGGCCCTCATTTCCTTTTTTTGGGGTCGGGGGGTTCCCTTAAGAATAAAAAAGGGGGACCTGTTTATTTCGGATGTCTTGTAGCATTAAAGGTTTGGAGTTTGCACACTTTCCTGCTAGACTGGACTTGCGCCCGTGGGGTGTATTCCCGTAGCCGGTCCCTCGCATGTTGCCTCGAGAAGCCGTCGCCTCTCAACCATTCCTAGTTAAAGCATGAACACTAGAACCCTAAACCCTAAACCCTAAACCCTAAAAAAACCCTCGCAAACTTTGCTCCCACGCACAGGTTTCCAACGAGCACCTCCTCCTGGACGAGAAGGGGGGGGGGGGGAGGGGCGGGGGAGGGGGGGGGGGGAGGGGGGGGGGAGGGGGGGGGGGGAGGAGGGGGGAGGGGGGAGAGTGATGGGTGGGGTTGGAGGGGGGGGCGAAAAGAGCGAAGGGCTTTTTTTGGGGTTCATGCTCTTTGAGATGTCCTGTAGGCTCCGGGCGCTTGGGTTGTTGTTTTCTGTTTTAGGGTTTAGGGTTTAGGGTTTAGGGTTGGGTCAGTCTGGCCTAAGCAACCTCTGAAGAAGGAGGTGAGCTCCCTTAGGTGCCATGGAGGCGTCCTCCGCTCACAACAGTCGCCACTGGGTTAGGAAGAGCATCCCTAAACCCTAAACCCTAAACCCTAAACCCTAAACCCGAAACCCGAAACCCGAAACCCCTAAACCCTAAACCCTAAACCCTAAACCCTAAACCCACCCAAGGTCTGGGGTTCAAGGTCCTGCGCTGCCGAGGGAGGATTTTCTGGACCTGAGGCCGTTACAAAAGTCCCGAAGCCAAGGCCCTTATGGAGGTTTAGAGTGTTAGAGTTTTAGGGTTTAGGCCTTAGGGTTGGAGGTTTAGGGTTTAGGGTTTATGGTTTAGGGTTTAGGGTTGGCGCAGACTGGATCGGCGGTTCTTGTGGCTCTTACGAGAGTGAGAGTGATACTAGTCTGGGGTTTTCAGGGTGCATAGGGTTTTTGGGGGTGGGGGTCGTCTGCAGGGTGCTGATGTAGCCTTGCGGCTTTAAGCCCTGGATAGAAAGCACCCCTAAACCCCAAACCCCAAACCCTAAACCCTAAACCCTAAACCCCAAACCCCTAATTCCTACAGGAGATGAAAGAAGAGTGGGATGAACTGGCGACCTACACCCCCTACTTCCTGGTTTGGGGAATCCTGGCCTCAATGGCTAGGGTTTAAGGTTTGGGGATCAGGGTTTAGGGTTTAGGGTTTAGGGTTTAGGGATCAGGGATTAGGGTTTAGGGTTTTTCGTTTTTAGGGTTTTGGGGTTTAGGGCTCCCCTTACTTCCTTGTTCGGGGAAGCTGGCCTCAATGGGTCCGGGGTGGGCTGCTCCAGGGCAAATGGGCTCAGGGTTGGGCAAATGTGGCGGGTGGGGGTGGGGCGGCTTCAACAGCGAACATTCCGGACTAGAATAGACTTCCACTACCACCCCAAGCCCTAATTAAATCCCAATTAAACCCTAAACCTTAAAAACCCACCAATACAGACTCTGAGGCCAGCCCGAAAGATGAAAGAGCGATTGCACGGAACGCCGCCACCCGCACTCATGAATCAATCCCTTGAAGCCCCGGCGCCCCAACCTTAGTGGCCTGTCCCAAGAAGGAACCAAAGTACCAACACCTGCATACACTCGTCCGTCGACATGTAGATGAAAGGAGGTAATGTGGTCCTCGATCCCAACAAGGGCCCTCAAACTTAGATTTCGGCGGCTTTGCAGACTTTTTTGGGTAACGTAAGGTGGATGGCAAGCCCCCATGCCCTAAACTCTTAAGCGTCCCTAAACATCCGACATCCCTAGCCCGCTCACAAAAGTGCAAGAAATTCAAAGTAAGGTCTCCGCAACCTCCTCACCTCCTTCGGCTTCTTCTTGCTTAGCCACTTCTACCTGGCGCCTGGGACACGTATCATCACGCAGCCCTCCCCCAAGCCTTGTTGGGGAAGGGAGGGTAGGGTGTTTCAGTAGAGAACCGCCGTGTCCGAAGTTTAGGATGTAGGATTTAGGGTTTATAGGGTCCGGGGGTATGTGAACCAATGTAGCCCATGGACTGCAAACTTCACTGTCAGCTCAGCCAAGGACTCCCAAAAAAAGCCCTGACACAGCATACGCGCTTGTAGTAGGGGATCCTGCAAGTGATGTGGGACATTGCGAGCATTCAAGGGCCTGATGAGCATACGCAGGCAAACACGCAAGAATGCCGTGCCTCTCCCTCCTCGGACAGAGATCGGCTTCCGAAAGCTCCATCAAAAGGAAGTTCGAACTTGAGACCAAAGCATGTTGAAAAACCATCAACCTGGAACAAACCCCCTAGCCCTAAACCCTAAACCCTTAACCCTTAACCCTATAATCCCAAAATGAAGCGGAGGACTGGAAGCCGTATGCCTTCCTCGGGCACCTCTTCTATGCACCCGTGCTGCGATATCGGGGCTAGGGTTTAGGGTTTAGGGTTTTAGGGTGTGTGCACCTGCTTCAAGAGCCTTCTTGTGGGGGGAGGGCCCTGCACCCGAAACTCTACCGCAGTTTAGGGTTTAGGGTTTGGGGTTTAGGGTTCAGGGTTTAGGGCCTGTAGGGTTTATGGGGCGATGGGTGGCTAGTGCCTTGGGGGCATGGCGGTCAGGCGACAGGGGCAAGACGGTTTCCAGATTTTTTGAGGTCAATGGTTGGGTGCAGGACCTCTCGGAAGTGAAAATGGGGCAGTTCTCTCAAGCATGGTTCCTTTTTTGTGTTCATAAACCGTAAGCCTTAGACCCAACACCCTCGACCCTCGGCCCGCAGCCCTAAACGCCTAAACCCGAACCCTCAAACGCCTAAACCCTAAACCCTAAACCCTAACCCCTAAACCCTAAACCCTAAATCCTTAATCCTAAACTTTAACCCCTAAACGCCTAAACCCTAAACCCTCATAGCCCCCAATCCTACCTCTCTCTCTTTATCTCTCTCCCGCCCGCGAGGTGATCCTCACGCTGGGCCTCAGCGTCCTTTGCGAGAGGCTCATGGCTACCTCCCGGGCGATCTTCGCTTCTTGGCAAGAGCTCCCTGAAATTTAGGGTTTAGGGTTTAGGAGATAGGGTTTCGGATCTAGGGTTTGGGGTTTAGGGTATGTTGTTTAGGGTTTGGAATTAGGGTTCGGGGATTAGGGTTTCCAAGCCCTAGAGCGCCCCTCTTGGGGCCTGTATAGGGCCTGTGGGATCTTGGCGTGGGCGGATTCACCTCTACATGCTCAGCGTGTTCTAGGCCGGCGTGTTGGTTTTGTTTGGGGGGGAAACCCTGGTTAAGGGGGGGGGGGGGTGGGGAGTCAAAAGGGTAAAAGGGGCTCAGAGAGTCCGACACGCTGAGACGATGGAGTCGCTCCTGTACCTCACTGGCCAGGCCCTCTCGTGGCAGCCTGGCGGCGGTTCAGGGTTTAGGGTTTAGGGTTTAGGGTTTAGGGTTTAGGGTTTAGGGTTTAGGGTTTAGGGTTGGGGCTTAGAGGCTGGAGAGAGGTTTGGGGATGCTGGCTTTTGTTCCTTCCGTGCTGTGTAGTAGTTGCTTGGTTAAAAAACAGGTCTAGCAAAGCCTTGCTATGTCAGTGTTTTAGAGCCATAAGTTTGGAAGACCTCAGGGTCTCCGGGCCCTGGGGGTGTCTGCTTTTGCTTTGCCGACCTTCGCAACTTTCGTGCGGCCCGTCTCAGGTACATCGTCTATCGGGAGAGGCTGGGGCTCATGTCGAAAGCAATCTCTGAGTAACACCTCCTTCCGACAGGATTTGGGAATTGTGGTTCAGCGGAAGCCAGAAGCCCTGAATCCCGTGAGCCACATGAACCCTCATTCGAAGTCCGAACCCCCGGTGGTGTCGAAACCCTCCCTTTCCTCCTTTCCCCCCCTGCTGCCCCACTTGCCGCTGCTTGCCCCTCTCAGAGGCCTACTACTTGAAGGTAGTCCCTAAGTAAGGTTATAACCATGGTTACCCTACTTATAACCCTACTAATAAGTACCCATGAGCCTCTCAGTAGGATCTGGTATTCTGTTTGTTTCCAGGGGCCTCCTGATATACGGCTGGCTTGTGGGTTAGACAACCCGGCAGGTCACTTGTTTGGACCCACCCTAAACTCCCAAAACCCGAAACCCCAAACCTCAAGAGAAACTTCCTTGAGCACAGCGCATATGGGGGTTTCCGAAATTAGGCGCCTTTCCGTGGGGTCCCTTTAAGGGGTATTCTATTTGTGGTATAACGAGGGGTATCCTATACCCTAAACCCCAAAACCTAAACCCTCTTTTCGTAAACCTCCAGATGAATCGTGCGTCTCATGCAAGCGTCGGCCTCCCGCGCCTCCTGTAACGCGTGCTCCCTGCAGCACCCTGAGAGGGTTTAGGGTTTAGGGTTCAGGGTTCAGGGTTTAGGGTTTAGGGTTTAGAGTTAATATAGAGGTCGGAATAATTTCTAGCAGTATTCCCTTAGGGTCCCCTGTATGGGTCCAAAGCCCCATTCTGATTATTCAGGGCCCCTGTATTAGTTCGAGCATCTTGTTTGAAACCATTGTGAACCCTAAACCGTAAACCCTAAACCCCTAAACCCCCTAAACCCTAAGCCCTAAACCGGTCAGAGCCCTACTATCAAGGGATGAAGACTCGTTTCCCTGAGGTTGTACCCCTAAAGCTTCCCCCTTACTATACTCCTAATATGCCCCTTATGTGCCCCTTAGGGGATCCTGAAAAAGGTACCCCAAAAACCCAAACCTTAATTGTCCAAGGTAGAACCCCTAGATACTAGGGTTTAGGGTTTAGGGTTTAGGGTTTAGGGTTTAGGGTTTAGGGTTTAGGGTTTAGGGTTTAGGGGCTCACGCAACGTCAGGTTTGAAGCCTCTTACCCAGCTACGCCCCCGCAAGCTTCCAAGGCACGTGCCCAGTCATTGCATGACCCGCGCGCCGCTGGCTTTCTCCGGCTGTGAGCAGTTTTCGGTTTCGGGTTCAGGGACCCAAAAAGGACATAAGCAAAAGCATTTTATAGGGATGTCCCTACCTTATTGGGCTTCATTATAAGGGGGTTTATATGGGATATCCCTATCCTAAGTTTTGCTTATGTGCTGTTTTGGGGCCTTATTCAGGGTTCAGGGTTCAGAGTTCAGGGTTCAGGGTTTAGGGTTTAGGGTTTAGGGTTTAGGGTTTAGGGTTTAGGGTTCAGGTTTAGGGTTTCCGGCATGATCGAAGACATCGCCCCCGCCTTCCCGGTGGCTCTTGCCTCTGTGGTTGGGCTAACCGCAGCTCAGGGATTCTTGGGAACTATTTTTGATTTTTGGGGGCGCTGCCATTCCTAAGAAGCCAGCAAAAACCCTAGACCCCTAAACCCTAAACCCAAACCCTAACCCTAAACCCTAACCCTAAACCCTAAACCCTAAACCTAAACCCTAAACCCTAAACCCTAAACCCTAAACCCTGCCAGCAAAAACCGATGCTTTTGCTAGGGTTCCCAAGTTCAGTATAGGCCGACCGGCGGCATGGCGCGGCGAACGGCTTAAGGCCTTCGCCCGGTTCGAAGCCCGGAGGGTCATGATCATTGATATGAGGCGGGTTTAGGGTTTAGGGTTTAGGGTTTAGGGTTTAGGGTTAGGGGGCCCTCTTGGAAGCCGTCTTTTTCTGTGGCTTACTTAAGGCCGGTTTCTAGGGAGCGTCCGGTAGGATGTATTTGCCGTGGATGATTGCACATATATATATATATACACAGCTCAGACGGAGTCTTTGCTTGCGATCTCCCCAGGTCCGATTGGAAGAAGCTGCTGTGTGCTTGCAGCGTCTGGATGCTGACGTGGCTCGAGGTGGCCTCGTGCGCTGCCTATGGCATCTAGGTTGGTTTTGGGGGTTTAGGGTTTAGGGTTTAGGGTATAACTTAAACGCCAACC